TCCTACATTGCCCAGATTGGTCTTGAATTCTGAGCCTCAAGCAGTCCTCCCATATTGGCCGCCCAAAGCACTCGGTTTACAGGCATGAGCCACCACACCCACCCTAGTACCAGTTGTGTCTATTATAATCTAGCACAAATTGTCAGATAATGTAACACAAAATAGTATACTTAATATATTTAATATACTGTTTTATAAGAGCACCGTGACTTTCAGGTATTCTACTTCCCGAATTGGTTTGAAAATGTATGTCCAAAATACAAAACCTTCAAAAATAAAAATAAAAAAAGAAAGAAAAGTCTATTTCCTCTTTCAAATGACAACTTCCCAAATTTTAACTATTATTTCTGAAAGGGATCTAGTCTAGCCAACTTTATTTCATAGATGAAGAAATTTAGATTCAGCGATTTAACTCCAACTAATACTCTCTTCTTCAGGCAAAATACCTCAAACAGGGTGGGCATAGTGGCTCATGCCTATAATCCCAGCACTTTGGGAGGCCAAGACAGGTGGATGGCCTGAGGGCAGAGGTTCGAGACCAGCCTGGCCAACATGGTGAAACCCTGTCTCTATTAAAAATACAAAAATTAGCCAGGCGAGGTGACAGGCTGTAATCCCAGCTACTCAGGAGGCTGAGGCAGGAGAATTGCCTGAACCTGGGAGGCAGAGGTTGCAGTGAGCCAAGATCACGCCATTGCACTCCAGCCTGGGGGACAAGAGCAAAACTTGGTCTCAGGAAAAAAAAAAAAAAGAATACCTCCAACAGTTCCTTAAATGGCATAAGTTATAGGCCTGAAAACTATAGTCTTCTCTTTTCAAGACATACTCTAGGCTAGGCACAATGGTTCACACCATAGGGGAGACCTCATCTTTACAAAAACTTAAAAAAAATTAGCTGGGTGTGGTGGAGTGCACCTGCAGTCAGTCCCAGCTACTCAGAAGGCTGAATTAGAAGAGTCATTTGAGCCTGGGAGGTAGAGGCTACAGTGAGCTGCGATCACACTGCTGCACTCCAACCTGGGTTAAACAGTGTGAGACCCTGTCTCAAAATAGACATACTTCAGTTTCCTTACTGGTGGCCCCTCTTAGGATACACTCAGACAAAATTATTAGATGGGATTTGATTAGAGTATAATGGAATGATGAACACTTCCTCAGTCATGCTGCAGTTAAATTCCTCTAAGACTGGCAAGCAGCCTAAGCCACGTCAATTCAGATAATTCAGACAGCATGCTATCAGTAAAGCTATTGACATGCTACACTGTAGTAATCTAGCTCCAATCTCTGATTGATCAGCTGATCAAGTCATATTATTGATTACCCAGTCTCTAACTCATATCTCTCATGATCTATTTGCTTATTACTTTAATTCTTCCCCTATACTTTAAGATCTGGGAACATGTTTCTGCTAAAACTAATCCTGTCTGGCAGCCTAGTTAATTAATTTCTAGAGTCTGAGCGACTAGCAGCTCTCTGTAACCACCACATGACTGATTACCCAGATCTTGCTAGGTGAACTTCTTTCTATCTTTAGGAAAGTACCCATCCTCATTATTCCTCCAAGATACTTTCTTAAAGCACCCCAAATAAGGAAAATATCAAGATGGTACTGTGACAAATATTTTAGATAAGCAGGAAAAGATATATGTACGGAGACTTACATGGGTATCACATCTCTGCCCCACCAAAGGAAAGGGTGGAGAACACATGTGTTGAACTAGAAGTGACCAGTCTAAACTAAAAAGGTCAAGCAGGGGCAGGAAGTTGAGTTTTGCAATGAAAGCATTAGCAACCTATGCTTTGGGTTTTGAGCTGAAAAGAAACTGTTCCCAGGATACTCTGTTTTTATAACTTTGCTATTTGTCTTGTCATTTCCCCAACTTTATAGGCTCCTAAAGTATGAAGAAACTTTAACGTTATCTAGTCAAGAGGTCCCAAATGTGGGTCTAAGGTAGTAACACATTTGCTGCATCAGAATCACTTAAAGTTTTGAAAAAACAGGTATCTTCCCCTAAAAATTTCATACTGTCTTTTGGCACCCCTTCCCCCAAATCAGGACCGAGTAGGCCTAAACTCCATAGGATACTGTGACATATAACTAAATTTGGGAAGCCATTTGAACAATATTTGAATATCTCTTATGACAGAGAACTTACTCCTTCCGAAATAACATGTTGTATCACTGAAGGGCTGGCTGGGCTCAGTGGCTCATGCCCTATTTCTGGCACTTTGAGAGGCCGAGGCGGGCAGATCACCTGAGGTCGGGAGTTCAAGACCAGCTTGACGAACATGGAGAAACCCCATCTCTAGTAAAAACACAAAATTAGCTGGGTGTGGTGGTGCATGCCTGTAATCCCAGCTACTCAGGAGGCTAAGGCAGAAGAATCACTTGAACATGGGAGACGGAGGTTGCGGTGAGCTGAGATCACACCATTGCCCTCCAGCCTGGGCAAAAAGAACGAAACTCTGTCTCAAAAAAAAAAAGGGAGGGCTTTTAGAGTCAGATGGGTTTGAATGTCAGAACTTTGCTTCTTACAAACAGTTCCGTGGCCCTCTCTTTGACCTCCAACTTGTTATGGAAATTTTCAAATATACACAAAGTAGAATAATAGAATAAACACCCGGGTATCCATCATTGGCTTCAACAATTATCAACATAGAGCCAATCTTGTTTCATCTATAAGCCCTCCAAACCCCAATACCTCACTTGATTTTATTACATTTCATTTGTAAATGCTACAGTATAATCTCTAAATATAAGACTCATTATTTAATTAACTGCAATACCATTATTATACCAAAATATTAACAATAATTCCTTTTTTTTTTTTTTTTTTTGATGGAGTTTTGCTCTTGTTGCCCAGGCTGGAGTGCAATGGCACAATCTCGGCTAACCACAACCTCCGTCTTCTGAATTCAAGCCATTCTCCTGCCTCAGCCTCCTGAGTAGCTGGGATTACAGGTGACCACCACCATACCCGGCTAATTTTTGTATTTTTAGTAGAGACGGCGTTTCACCATGTTGGTCAGGCTGGTCTCAAACTCCTGACCTTGTGATCTGCCCGCTTTGGCCTCCCAAAGTGTTAGGATTACAGGCGTGAGCCACTGCACCCAGCCAATAATTTCTTTTAACTTCTTTACAACTCAGCTTCCTCAACTGTAAAACAGGGATGGGTCACACTTTAGCCTCAGAGGATTCTTGTGAGCTGTCTCAGTGATTAAAAGGAAAATGTAGAAGTCGTCTTTGGCTTTAGCCATGGTGGTAAAAAAATAATAATAAATAAATAATTTGGTTTGAATATGTACAACATAAATAAAAATCATGTAAGTTCTTGGGTTCCGAATCCCAGTCTTGGAGCTTTGGACAGTAAATAACCTACCTACCCAGAAACCTCAACCTGCTTAAGATAATGACTACATTATATCTAGAATGGTAATGTCAGCTCAGCTGGGATAATCTATTTCTCTCAGTAGGTAAATGACTTTTCAACAATGGGAAGTTCAGAATTTAAGACATAATTAAATTAATCAAGGTAATTTACAAACATCTGTATTAACTTCAAGACAATCTATTTATTGTAACTACAATGCATTCATTGTCAGGCTCTGCTTTCTACCAGTGCAAGGGTTGAGACTCAGCTCAGCTCCCTACAGAATAAGAGGCTTCCTTTTCTTTGATAGCAAGACTGCAACTTTTCATAGCCCCAGTCGGTCTCCAGGTTCTAGGGAGTTGCCCTTCCCAAACAACTATAAATAGCTGACATCTCAAATCCATTCTGACTCTAGGCACTAAACACAGAATTCATTTCTCTGATGAATAAAATGGAGACTCACAGTTGGAGAGTTATCGCCCTATTCGAAATTGACCCAAACATGAATCCAGCAGTGACCCAGGCCCTGTAGGATGGGAAGATCAGGGGGACCAGTGCCTTCCCTCCACCGCCCTTTTTTTGGAGACAGGGTCTTGCTCTGTCACCCAGGCTGCAGTACAGTGGTGCAATCATGACTCACTGAAGTCTCAACCTCCTGGTCTCACATGATCCTCCCACCTCAGTGTCCCAACTATCTGGGACCACAGGAGTATGCCATCATACCTGGCTAATTTTTTTGTAATTGTGGTAGAGACAGGATCTCATTATGTTGCCAGGCTGGTCTCAAACTCCTGGGCTCAAGTGATCCTCCCTTAGTCTCCCAAAGAGCTGGGATTATAAGCATGAGCTGTCTAAACCTAAACACCTATTTTTCTTCCTCCCAGGCATCTAAAATGGTTTTTTAAACTCAACAAATCAACATAAACCTATTCAAATCATACAAAATCTGTTCCTCCTTCCCCATCTAAATGCTAGTTAACTCCCAATGACAAAAATAGTAGTTTGGTACTGACCTAATTAGCGGAATTATATAATTCACACTAAAGTAAGAATGAGGCTTAAACATTCCCAGGATACACAGATATAAGAGCTAAACACAAATCTGCAATGGTACTATTTCATTCTTCACTTTTATCAATACAAGCGTTTAAAGTGAGAGTCCTTTAAATTGCTCTTCTTTCTCTGAGGTTATTTTTTCCTTCATTGATTTATGGTTAAAAACAACAAAACAAAATGTGTGAGAATTTCTATAATGGGGCTAAAAACCAAAATTCTTTACTTCTGTTGAAAAAAATGAAAGGAATAAGGAAGAGAAAGAAGGGTTCATATGTAATGAGGAGACATGGAGAGACAAATTTAAAATATCTTAAATGCCTCTCAGTGACAGCCAGATCATTCATTAGAGGCTTTTTATTTACAATCCTAGAAAAATATTAATAATAAGCAATATTTCAATTGGCCTAATCACATTTAATCCTTTGCCACACAAGCAAAGAATTAAAGCACACTTGAGAGCAAAGAAAAACAAAATGAAAAATAAAAAATATTCCTTTTTCTTAACAAATTACACACACAAACATGAACTCTGTGTTATACTAAGTTTGAGAAGTTAGTAAGAAAAGACTATACCTGAGATATATGGCCCTGGACTTTTGCAAACTGAGTTGTTCGAATATTTAAAGACTGGCTTCTTGTTACAGTTGCCACAGAAAGGGATTTTCCATTCACCTTTCTTTCAAGATGACAATTTGCTGGCAATCTCTCTTCAAGAAGAACAGCATCCCAAGGATCCTTTTCGAGCAAGCTTGAAACATTTTTCTCTTCTTCATGGTCTAATATCTCCACATTATCCACTTTAGGCTTACTTAGAGGATCCAAGTCTAACCAGTCAAATTTACTGATATCCTCAGACTTTGGAGATACCTGTAGATTGCTGACTTTTGAATCTGTTATCTCCAAATCAGTCCTTGCTTTCCCATTTTTTAAAAATTCTGATGTACTAGCTATTTTGTCAAATAGTTTTGCCATGTCAGGACTGACTACTGGACGACAGATAGGTAAGCTTCCTTGTGGATGAAAGGGTGTGGCAGGTGTTAAAGGATATGGGAAATATGGAGATTGTCCCGGAAGACTTAAATATATAGGTTCTGTAGATGGAAAAGTGGGCATTCTTGGATTGAAGCCATTCTGGAATGCAGCCTGTTTACTGTAAGTAGAAGGATAAATAGAAGGTAAAGCGTAAGTGGAAGGCCCAGATAATCCAGGTGGCCACTGTCCTCTCTGAACAGTAGGTCTAAAGTACAGCTGTGCTGAAAAAGGGCTCAGAACAGGAGTAACTGGCAATACAGGTGTTTTTCTAGTCTCGAAACTGTCATCCAGCAATAGTTTCTCAAGTTCAGCTTGAGTGAGCTTTTCTACATCAATATCTAATGCTCTTTTTTGGGAATCTGATTCGGGAAACACCATGAGATCATAATCCTGTTTGTTATAAACCTGTGCTTTTTGTCTGGTGCTACTTGACAACTCAAAGCCTCTCTGATTGTCAGTAACTTGTCTATCCTTTTGCAGTTTTGCTAAAGCCTCTGCTTCCATCTGTAATGCTTCTTCTTTGTCCACATCTTTTGCTCTTGTTGGTTCCAGATGTGAAGATGGACATTGTTTAACTCCGCTGTTGCTGGATATCTGAGCCATGTCCTCTAAAAAGACCAAACCTTTTTTTCCCCAATCTATTCTTTTCTTGTAGCTTCCAAAATAGCAAGACCTATACATAAAAATAAACATAACACTCAATTAGATTTCTAAACATATTTTGTTTGCAACTTACCCCATATGACTTAAGTCTTAAAGCCACTTAGAAAAATATACAATAAAATAAACAAAATAAAACAGTTGGATGAAATCTTGGTGAAGGAACACAACACCTCATACAGTATTGGGTTACAGAAGATGTTCCGATATACATTACTTTACCCCGTTTCCTGATCTAACTGGAAAGCTGGCATAGTAAATGAAATTTAGACGCTTTCATTTTAGCAGCCACAATGGCTACCATATTAACCAGTGGTACTTCTGGGAGAATTCTTAACATGAAATGACTTAAATGCTAGTCACATATTTCAAAGAGTTCAGACAGGGTTTGCCATTATGCAAAAATAGAAAGTCAAAATGGTTTTTGAACTTTCGCTATTTGTTAAATTGCTCAAAAGTCAATTAGCAATAAAAACATCCAATACCTAAGTCAATAAAATAGGAAACTATTATTTTATCAAAATACTTATGTGCAAAACTGATTAAAATTTTATAATCCTCCAGAAATATTAAAAATATATAATGTAACACGGATTTAAGTAATAGGACTAGAGTGATAATACTATTAGAAGTTCTGAGGTAATCTTCCAATCAAAGATTAAATTATAGCAGAATTGGTCATAGTTTTAGTTACAATTCTATTCTGATTATCTGCAATTAAATCAATAGTTATAATACCAAAGTTTCTCCTTTTCAAAATCCTTAAATATTTATATTCATGAAAAGACAAGAAGATAATTTTTAAACTTTCTCATAGATTAGCTTATAAAAATTTATACTCCTCTATTTAAGACACTTAATTCAGACCAAGATTACCCTGTGAAGCAATATAACCAACTGAAAGGTTGCTTAGCTACTCTGTATCACAGGGCATGTTTCCTGCTTCTAATCAATATGATGCAAGGGTTAAATATGGGTCCCTTCCCTGGAGTCACATCACCTTAGTTTAAGAAGGTATATGACCTTGGGCAAATGAAAACTTTTCTGTATGTCTTAGTTTCCTAATTTTTTAAATGAAAAAGTATCAATCTAAATTAGTATACAGACTAAATGAAATAATACATGTAAAAGTGCTTTTATTGGCCTTGAGCATAAGTACTAAATAAGTGGTACATATTATTAATCTAATATGGTTTGCGATATATCTAATTTAAATACCTATAAAGAAAGCAAGCTCCTGTTTACATTCTATGGTCTTTCTTTCTAGCAAACACAATGCTTACCTACAGTATACGCTCAATATATGTGTGATGCAAGGAGGTAGAGAAAAACTCAAAATGAACTCAAATTAATATAATACAAATGAAAATCCTAAGTGTTGAGGTAATACTAAACAACAACAAAATTAGTGGGTAGGACACGAAGAAAGAGGAATTCAAAGAATGTCCTTGGAGTATTATTTTGCAATTCCTTCATACAACTATTTTCTCTTCTGTGATAGACTACAAATCATGGGCACAATGTATACTTAACATATGTACACTTCACTGTATATAAACTTTATATCAAAAGAAAAAGCTGTAAATATTGAACTACTGCTAAATATGTACGAAAAACTTAGAGGAAAGACCTAATGTCTACCACTTACTTTTGTTGTTATTGTTTAGAGATGGGGGTCTCACTATATTACTCAGGCTGCTCTTGAACTCCTGGCCTCAAGCAAGCCTCCAGCCTCTGCTAGGATTACAGGCATGATCCACTGTGCCTGGCTCTCCTCCCATTTCAACACAGTACTCTCACCCCATGGGATGTGATTTTGTTGCTCCTCCCATAAAGAGGAGGGATCTATTTCTTTACTCTCTAGAGCTGAGCGGGCCTTGTGACTTGGCTTTTACCAATAAAATGGAAAGAAGTAACACTAAGGGAATACGAGTTCCAAATCTTGGTCCTAAGAGGCTTTACTACTTCAGCTCTTTGTCTTTTGAAATGCAGCCACTACCATGTGAATGCTCACTGAGGATAATAGAGGCCAGCTAACAGCCAGCACCAACCACCAAATATGTAAGTGATGCCACCATCTTATCTTAGACCATCCATTCACACACAGTTGTGATGACCACAACTACATGAGTTCCCAAAGGTGAGACCAGCAGAAGAAACCACCCAGCTGAGCTAAAGCCAAATTGCTAACCCACAGAATCATTTTGGAATGGTCTGCTACATAACAATAGAAAACAGATAAACTTTTTCTTATTACTTTGAGAAAATAAAATGCAAGTCACTTTATTATTTAGCAAATTTGTTTCAACTTCTAGCACCACCACCACTGCTACTACCACCTCCACCACTGCTGCCGCCGCCACCGCCACCACCGCCACCACCACTACCACTACCACCACCTCCGCCACCGCCGCCGCCACTACCACCGCCACCACCACCGCCACCACCACCTCCGCCACTGCTGCCGCCACCACCACCACCACCACCACATTCCTTCACTTATGCTCCAACAATGAACGGTTTTCTTTTCCTTTCTAAGGCGACCTCCTCCAAGTATATCCTTAACCCCACTGAATTCCCCTCCACTTCATTATCAATGATTACCTCCTTTACATTGTTAATTTATTTACTTGCTTAGGATCCTATGCCACAAAAATACTTATGGTTTCTCCATACTGAAGGGGGGCAGGGAAATACAAACATTCCTGTTTAGATTCCAGTAGCTTCCATTTTAATTTTCTTTTTTCACTGCCAAACTTCTCCAAAGAGTGACCTAGAAAATCTTTTCTTTACACATTCTGCCTTGGAAAAACTCTACTTGTCCTTCAGGGCCAGTTCAAATACTGCCCTCTCTCTTTAGCTTTCCCTAAGCAGCTCTTATCAGAATTCAACTTTTTAGATCAACCAAAACATTTTTATCACAGCTCTCTCTTCCTCCATAGACCTTTTGCTGTTTTTGCCTATTCAACATCTTTGCTTCTGGTTGTAAAATGTACAGCTTCAGTTTTGGAGACTGATAGCCCTTTATCCCACACAGTTAAAATAGAACTGGCCATCTCTGCCCTTGTCCTCTATCCCCATCCACTCCGGAGGATCCAAATCTGGCCCATCAGATTAAACTCCTGGACTTTCGCTGAAACTATTTGGAAAGAAAGTTTTTATTTGAGCTTACTAAACTCAGATATAAGCCTGGCCTTGCTGTGGCCATCTTTGTCACTACTTGAGGAGATACTGCCTAAGAATGTGTCCAATCCAGAAGAAAACAGAGCTAAGGTAAAACGAAGAAGGACTGATTCTGGCTAATATTACATTAAGCATCTGGATCCAACCATGCCCAAGGCCAGCCTTTCATTTATGTAAGCCAGTAAGTCTCCCTTTTAGCTTAAGCCAGTTTAAAATGAGTTTCTGCCATAAGAAAAAATGTCCTGATTCACAAAGAACCTGTGAACCTGTGTGTCTACACAACTACCTAAAATAAGCTTAAGTGCAAAGGCCAACTTTGTTCATTTTTATAGTTCCCTACAACATTTAAAAGTACATTGCTTAATGAATAAGAAACTTAATTTACTGAACGTGTGGGTTTTTTTTTGTTTGTTTGTTTTAGACAGGATCTCATTCTGTTGTTCAGACTCGAGTGCAGTGTCACCCTCTTGGCTCACTGCAACCTCCGCCTCCTGGATTCAAGCAATTCTCCTACCTCAGCCTCCTGAGTAGCTCGGGCTACCACGGCACACCACCACACCCGGTAAATTTTTGTAATTTTAGTAGAGACTAAAAGGTTTAGTAGAGACTAATAGGGTTTTGTCATGTTGGCCAGGCTGGTCTTGAACTCCTGACCTCAAGTGATCCGCACACCTCAGTCTCCCAAAGTGCTGGAATTACAGGCGTGAGCCACTGCATCTGGCTAAACATATGTTTTAACAACAGGGAGTGAAGGCTATTGGACATTCTTAAGGCATTTCCAATGGCACAAGAGTATGGATATATGGTAGGAAAAATAAGTCAAGTATAATCACTTGTTTTGGAACACCATAGTATACTGCCTGTTTTTCACAAAATCAGATGTATTAAAACAAAATAACAGCCAGGCATAGTGGCTCATGCCTGTAATCCCAGCACTTCGGGAGGCCAAGGCAGGCAGATCACCTGAGGTCAGGAGTTTGAGACCAGCCTGGCCAACATGGTGAAACCCCATCTCGACTAAAAATACAAAAATTAGCTGGGTGTGGTGGTACTCGCTGGTAATCCCAGCTACTCAGGAGGCTGAGGCAGGAGAATCACTTGAACACAGGAGGCAGAGGTTGCAATGAGGCAAGGTGGCCACCGGACTCCAGCCTGGGCAACAAGAGTGAAACTCTGCCTGAAAAAATAAAAATAATAACATTTTACAAAAAGAAAGGCTACTTAGATAGAATTCATCTTCCACAATACCAATTTGTTATTTAAGTATTCTCCTTGCTGTCATATTTGGTAATAAACAACACACATTATTCTGAAAGAACGATCTAGATTCTTTAAATGAGTTTGCAATAGTTTATTCACTGGAGAATACACTTGTTCTAAATATTTCAGATGATTGGTAAATCTCATTTACTGACAAAGATATAAAATGAGTCATTTGAAATACATTTTAATAGTGAGTATGGGTTTTTCTCACATCACCAATTTATTCCCTTGCTCTATTTCTAATACCAACACCCAAAGTAGTATATGCTGAAGTAAATTCAACTCTAAGTAGTAAAAGTGAGCTGACTGCAAGCAGCTAAGTTACCAATTTTAGTTTTCCAAGAGGTTATCATGCATGCATACTCAAATGGCAATAAAAGGACTTAACAGATTATCCAAAAGTAACCCTGTGCTTTAGCAATTTTTCTGGGGCTGCTGCATTGACATGCTCCATTAATTTTTTAAAATAAAACTTCATTTGATGACAAACATTTAGCAGGAAATAATTTCCTACATGATCATTCAAAATGAAGACTTCAATGCTAATGTTCCCCTAATTCAATCTGA